TAATAATAGTAATAGTAATAGTAATAATAATAATAATATAAAAAAAAAAGAACAAGAAATATTCTATTTCTATTTCTCTCTGTTCGTTTCATGGGATGAAAAGAACAGAAAAAATTTACAAAACTCTTTTCCCCATCGACAAGGGCTTTGGTTCTGTCATTATACGAATGAAAAAATTAATATTTTGTACCTACATACACTTGTCTAGACTCTTGCCACTGTAGTTAATGTATATCAGGATCAAAGGAACGAATTCTTCACTTTCCATGACTACACTGGGACCCTCCATGCTGCTTATTCGTACTTGAGAAAGGTGTTTGATTTCTGATCACGCTGTCCAGGATGATTCTGCCAAGCACCTTGGGATGCGTTCGGATTATTCGGGCCTGGACCACCTGTTCCAGGATTGCCAGTATTACCATCACCACCCCCTTGATTCATCCAACTGAGAAAGCCAGAGTTTCCACTGTTACCGATACTATTGTTGCCTGAAGGTGGCTGACCAGGTGGGCCAGGCTGGTTCGAATAGCCCTGATCGTTTCCCTGATTCTGCAAATTACCGATCAAACCCCAAGATGCTTGGTTCAATGCAGCTGCAACCAGAGCCGGGTTGACTGGTAATGCAGATAAATTCAGACCTCCCATCGCCAGTGGATTCGACATACCACCACCACCGCCGCCGCCATTATTCTGCCCGGTAATGCCCAATGCTTGAAGGTTAGGCATATCCAAATTGCCTCGATTCCCTGGATTGTTCCACCCATTTGGACCCATATTATTACCTGAATGGCCCATGTATCGGTTACCCTGATAGTTTCCCTGCACGTTATTCTCGACGGGACCTGGGGCGCCTCTACGCATATTCGAGTTCACTTGATTATTGAAATTCTTATTGTTCCCCTCGGACTTAGGCGCAGCGTTCGACACGTGTACAGACACTCCTTTAATAATGTGATCCTCGCCGCACAGGGACTGGGCTACCTCGGGATCTAAGAAAGTAACAAATGAAAATGCACGGAAAGGTTTTGGGATGAACACGTCCGTCACTTCGCCATATTTGGAGAAATAGTCGCGCAGATCATCAGCAGTTAGGTCTTCTGTACAGCGTCCCACGAATACCTTGCAGGGTACTTGCTGAATCATTCCCTCCTACGCACAAACGCACAATCAATCAATCATGTACAACAGATTTTCACAGGTTTTTGGTAATTTTTTGTTCTTTTTTCTTTTCTTTTTTTTTTTTGTTTTGTTTTGTTTTATCCATTAAAACTTACATACAGTGCACATTATTGTTATCTTTTATTTATGAAAAAGAATGATCAAGCATATACTGATTCTATCATTTGAACGTTTTGAATAAATTTGTTATAAATAGTTTTTCGTATTTTTTTAAATTAAAATATCATTGAAATCTATAAAAATAAACGTTCATTTATTCTGTTTAAAAATAAATTGAACAAGAAAGAAAAGAATTGAATTAATCTGCACTGTCAAGTTTTATAGAAAACTCTTTTTGATATACATGTCTAGCTAACAATTTCAGAAAAAAAGTATCGCCTTGTCAATTTACA